TCCTGCTGCTTGAACTCTGACAAAATGTGTCCTGAAAGTGCTTGACTTGCTTTCAAAAAGATAAACTTTCTGTCACCTCTTTCAACTTGTCCTGCCCCCTCTTGGGGAGAAACTGCCTGTCTTGCTCAGGGCCAGGTCTATCTTTGCAATGCCCTGCTGTCAGCGGAGGTGCTCATACACCACAATCATCTCCTTGACAAGCTAAAAAGGTTATGCTCCCTGTTCACAGAAATCTGTGTAATCTGCAGTGCGTAGTTACCCTTACTATGTCTTCTGCCTCTCCTAGGAAATGGAAGAATTTGTTCAGAGCTCAGGGGAACACGGCATCATAGTATTCTCTCTCGGGTCGATGGTCTACAACCTAACTGATGAAAAAAGTAATGTGATCGCCAGAGCCCTCAGCCAGCTTCCACAAAAGGTGAATTCCCTTTCAAGTCTAAAACAACTTGCCTTGTTTTTTTGTCACTCCTGTTGCCTTCAGTGAGCCTTTTATGTTTGGACTGGCCTGGTTTTTATCTGCATCTCTGCTGGATGTGCCACCGCCGGGAAGCTGGGCTCTGCAGAGGCAGACTGCCGAGTCACCTCATGGGAAATTCTGGCGTTTCCCCTTCTCTGAACCAAATGATGTGGAGGTGTGTCCATAGGCCAAAATATAAAAATCACCCTAAGCAATTTTTATAATAAGCACATAATAACTAATCAAAGAACTAAACTGGAGCCAAAGATATTTGATTACTGGGAAAAGGTATGTGGGTTTGAGATAAAGCCCTATATTACACGTAATAATACAGAAGGGCACATCACATGCACTATGTTTATCTTACTCTTCCTTTGTTCAAGGTCCTCTGGCGGTACAAAGGAAAAAAACCAGAAACTCTGGGCTCCAACACCAGGATTTATGACTGGATACCCCAAAATGACCTGCTTGGTGAGACTGATTCTATTTGGGATGCATTGTGCCCTTGGGAAAAACCTGTTCCCCTGTTTTTCCACTAAAATGGCTTATTCAGGCAAAAGAACCACGTAATGCTTGTGGCTACAATTAGTTTCGCAGCTTAAGCAGCAGAGGTTTACTCTTGGGACCTTAATTTCCTAGCCTGCTTTTGACTTTAAGGCGAGTGGCTCTACAAGAACCATGGAAGGTACAGATGGACTGTGAAGGGAGTAGGGAGCAGTGGCTCAAGAAGGCAGCAACTTGAACTTAGCTATAAAGATGGATCTCTAAAGCAAACGCCTCTGTCTTACAGTGCTTGGTGTCAATTGTCCGGAAGGGCTAAGAACCACCTATAGGCAGGAGGAAATATCAAAGTAGACAGGGACTCTGGAGCTGGATTTGGCCTCTGCAGTTAATCTACAAAATGCTTGACCTAAGCAAGATTGCAGCAGCGGGCTGTTGTGAACCTGATGCCATGTAAAAACTAGAACTGCACAACAGCAGAAGGGATGAAGTAACTCTGGGGCAGACTCGAGGGACCCGCTGATTCACACATTGCATTAAAATAAGTATGAATGTGTGAAAGCTAAGCATGCAAGCTCTGAGGCTGATCCAGAGGTCGGGGCTGTTCCCTTCTCTAGCAGTGCATTTGTCCAGGTAGTTTGCACCGCACGTGTCCCAGTGAACGCAGTCTGCCACAGCTGCTGTTACACGTGCCTCTCCTTCCCTTTCCCAGGCCATCCCTTGACGAAGGCCTTCATTACTCATGGTGGGACCAATGGGATCTATGAAGCTATTTACCATGGGATCCCAATGGTTGGGATTCCCATGTTTGCTGACCAGCACGACAACATTGCTCACATGAGGGCAAAGGGAGCTGCAGTTGAGCTGGATTTCAGCACGCTGAAGACACAAGACCTAGTTGATGCACTGAATACAGTCATTAACAATTCCACGTGAGTTTTGTTCTTGCCTTACAGTAGGATGAGGTTATTGAAATCTTGGGCTGCCAATGTAAGAAATTCTGCTGGCTCTTCTGGGAACCAAAACCACTGAGTAGCTGGAGTTTGGGTTTCAGATGAAAACGATCTTTCATTTCTGAGAACCAGCATTTCTCAGAAAGGAGAGATCAATAATTTGATTTTTCTTATACTACATTTTATGATCCCTTTGAGAAAAATACTTGTTGGAAAGCACAGAGCAGCTCCTGGGATGGTTTTCTGCTCTCTGTCTCTTCTTTGTTCTCTGCTAGTGTAAATTCTCTGGAGGTTCTGGGTGACAATTATAGTCGTATTATGTCTACTCTGTAACCACAAAAATTCTTTCTCCTACCCCTGAGTTACCAATATCCTTAGGCTACTGTACCTATTAGTCAGGAATTAGAGGGTAAGGAAGCCCAGCAGCTGGGATCCCTTGCTAACAATAAGGCCACTGACAAAGGGATTGGAAAAAGGCAGGAGTCCTCAGTCTTTGGCAGTGACTCCCATCAGGTGTGAAGGACAGATCCTTTCAAGGAAAAACCTGCAAATTCCCGAAGCAAATGGACCAACACTGATGGAGGTATTCAAAATCTGAGGGAATTAGCTGTGGTGGAGATAATCTATAATCTGGACGACCACCAGGCATCCAAAGACCCAGATGAAATCTGGTGAACGCAGCCCCCCTGCCAACCTCCCCCTGAGTTTTATTGCTGAGCATGATGTCATATGGTGTGGAATATCCCTTCAGTCAGCTGGGGTCAGCTGTGCTCCCTCCCAACCTCTTGGGCACATCCCTCCCACCCCCACTGACTGGTAGGGTGGGGTGAGAAGCAGAAAAGGCCTTGACTCTGTGTAAGCCCTGCTCAGCAGTAATGAAAACATCCCTGCGTTATCAAAACTGTTTCCAGCACAAATCCAAAATACAGCCTCATACTAGCTGCTATAAAGAAAATTAACTCTATCCCAGCGAAAAGCAGCACACTACATTATATTGGAACAGAACATGCTGCAAATGTTTCCATGTTGCTTTTTTTAAAGGAGTATCTGGAATAATTTTGGGTAACTTTTCTTGCAAAAGATTGGCTTTCTCTGTTACTGTTCATAACCAAATTTTATGCAGACAGGAGTAAACTGGGCCAGTTTAATACATTTAAATAACACTGATGAAAGTAAAAGCAGCTACCTTCCTCAAGAGGACTGCCGGGTTGTTTCAGGAATCAGTGACAAACCTTGTTGGTTTCTTCTTTTTTTCCCCAGCTATAAGGAAAATGCTTTAAGGTTATCCAAGATACACCACGACCAGCCAGTTAAGCCTCTGGACAGAGCTGTCTTCTGGATTGAATTTGTCATGCGTCACAAAGGAGCAAAGCACTTGAGACCAGCTGCTCACCATCTCACCTGGTACCAGTACCACTGCCTGGATGTTCTGGCATTCTTGTTCACCTGTGCAGCCATTGCTGTCTTCATTCTTGTCAAGTGCTGCTTATTTTGCTGTAGGAGATGTGGCAGGATTGCAAAGAGGAAGAAGGAATAGACATCCTGTTCCCATCAGCAGTTTGTCTTCTCCTAGGCTGATTCAGCAAGGCATTTATGCACATTCCTTGGTGAATAAATTATTAGGATATTCTTTAAGCTGGGCAGATCATGGAGCACCCTCTTGAACTGAGTCATGCTAAAAAGCTGTTGTGGGGCAAATCTGCTTGCTTAGGCAGAAAATTCCTTCTGGCCTAAATAAGACTGGAATAGTTGCTTTATCCCTTGGGACCCTGTTAGCTGATCACACATAGTCCCTAGAATGCTCTAACTTTTCAAATTCATTTTGGCCTATTTCATAAATTCAGCCTTCCTATATGTGGTGCTGTGGATCCCTCAATGTGCTACTAGTCCCCTCTTACCTTAATTCTGTCCTCTCCTATAATGTCACCCAGGCTTGATGATTCACAACCAAAATGCCTCTCCTGTCAGAACAGCTCTCTCCAGATTGGACAGTGAAGCTAAGATCATGAGCTCCTAAAAAGCACCCACATAAATGGCCAAGATCATGAAAAACTGGGAGCTGCAAGTGGCTGGTGAAACCTGTATCATCACATTTTTACAAATGCACTGACTACTTGGAGGCTGAGGGGAGACCAGAGTCCTAAAACCAGCAGAGAAACTACTTTCTTGAGAACTGTTTCTTTTTTCCATTCAGTATATGCCTGGAGTCCTGCACAGGCCATCATTCTAACTGCAACACTACAGGGCTGTGAAAACCACCTCTGTCAGTAACCTGCCCATCTTAACCCCCAAATGCCTCTGAGCGATGCTAACTGGTAAATGCAGGAAAACCTGTAGAGATGGAACTCGCGAAGAAGTAATGTTACATGTGGGAACAGTACAATAGTCACTTGCCTTACCCGAAAAGTTGGAGGGAAAATAATGCTGCTCTTGGCTCAGATAAGAATGGTAGTAAATGCAGCACTCCTGAAATTGTTCAAGGTGCACTTACTGATGAAAGCCTACTAAAAAGATACTAGTTCAGGCCTTCTGTTCTAGGTAAGGTTATTCCACTGCTGTGCCAGCTTACTCAAGAAAGAACCTACACCAATTTTAACTGATATTTGCTGTATTCTAGATGCTGCAGAATTGGTTTCAAACAGAAAAGGCTGCAAAAACATGCTGTATTTGAAAATTCCATACACTGCATTAACATTTTTATTAGCACTGTCAGTAGTTTCAGTGTCTGCTTAAATCTCTTCATACTACAACATTTACAAGCTCAAGCGAATTCTTTCCAAACTAAAGAAGGGCTGTTTCCTATGGTAGAAGGCTACTGTTTCTCATGGTAACTTCTGGTACATTGTTCCTATGGTCATGATGGAATCATATGCAAGAATATGCATACTGAAATACGCATAGTGAACAGAAAGTGGAACAGCATGACATTTAGACCCCAGATCTGAAAAATTTCGCTGTAATTGTTCACAGAGCTGGGTCCCTAGGCACAGCTCCACCAAGCTTGATCACTAACAGACCCCATCATCCAGCTTCTGCAAGTAGATTTGCAGAGATGTCAGTCTGGTTGCCAGAAGGCCAGGAAGCCTCCTGGCATTCTGTATAGACACGGGTCAGATAGGGCTAACAAAGGACTCATGAACAGGATAGTTGAGAAAAGCTGGACAGAGAAAATGCTCTGCAGTCACCGTAAGGAGGTACTTCTTATCTGTAACTTACTCAAGAGAAATTCGGCTTATCTAGTATTGAATTTAAAAAGTTAAAAAAAAAAAAATAAAAATTCCCTTCTTTCTTCTGGAATCTGTATATAAAGCAGAGAAGGATATCAAAGAATGAAGGTGGTCTGTGAGGCAGTTCTCCAATTAGACACAGTATGTGTACTGAATTTGATAAACTGATCTAATCCTACTGGTAACAGGCTAACCTCTTAGTGCACAGTAAACTGAGGAACCCAAACATACGTTCAACTTCTTATAGTGTTTAAAAAAATCTCAACATACTTGCATATTGGAGATCAAACTTTTTGCTTAGCACAGGTACATGTTTACTATAGCTGTGCAGACTAAAATACAGAGCCCAAATAATTGTCAGATGTAAAAAACGTGGTTCCGCAGCTGCCACACTGTGGCCAACCCGATATTGCAGTTTATAAAAACAGCTACAGCACTTAGCACTGTGGAGTTGGAGGTCTTTAAAGCACATGTTATAATCTGGTTTTGATACATGAGAAGATACTAAAGAAAGGTTATGAAGTCGTCCACCAAGGCAGTGCTATTCATACAAATTTGCTAGAGAAACTGAACAACTTCCACTACAAGTTTCAGTTTTCTTTTTTCACAGTTTTACCATTGGCATTAGATTAAAATACTTCCTATTGAAAAGAAATAACAAGTGATGCAGTAATCACTGCAAAGAAGACACAGGGAGAGTGTGGATCTTGCAGGACTAACACACTCTGGGGAGACAGATATGACTATGGCTGAGGACAGCCTATCAATAGCTCAAAGCTCATTTGATTAAGTTGAACACACAGGGCCTTAATAACTCTGATTAGCTGCTGCAGCTGTAAGTTGACTACTTCACTGTGGAAACAGAAAAGCAATTACCTTTTATTTCAGCAGTCCTTTTCCTAAATTCAGGCTTCAGATCAATTTCACCCATCAATTTCACCAAAGAACCTTTAAACTATTTTTGAACACAAATACTTTCCTAGAACTGCCAGAATCTTATCAAAGCTGGCAAGCTTAGAAGACCAAGAAACCCGATCTGGAGTTTTAATCATTTCAATAGTTATCAATTTATTTTTATGTAAAAAAAAAGGTAGCAATGTAGAATACAGCAATATTTTCTGGTTCCACACACGCAGGTTGTGAACATTCCAAGCAATGTGTACATTTTGGAAGGAGACTAGACAAAAGAATTGACCAAAATGTTACTGAACATGGGAATTTTTTTTTTTAAAAAAGGTTAAAAATTAGAAATCAATAGTGTCTTCTTAATATTGCTTTCATTACTGAAGACTGAAAAAACACTTGACTTTACAGATAGGGTTAAAAA